AAACTTGTTATGATAACCACAAGGGTGGTGTCTTATTGGTTTGCGTTTGGGCTCTAAAGGTCAAAAGTGTCTGGAGGTCTCAGGTTCAAATCCAAGAAGAAGCAAAAATCCCCTTGTAGCCATGGAGGTTCAAATGCGGTGACTCCGGGCTACCCGCAAAGTAGGTGGTCTCCCGGGGATTAGTTGGCTCACATAACGAGTTGGATATCCAGGTTAATAAAAAAAATTGTTATGATAAATATGGCATTAGTGATTTTAGTATCGTCAAGCATTTTGGTGTAGTTGTGATTTATAGGGGATAATCTTGTTGGTAAGGCAAACATAACATGAGTTAGGAGGTACAGAGTGTACACTCACAAATGTCGTCCCTATCAATTTAAATCGTTATAAGATAAGGGTCAAGGGGTTGCACCCCTAATGGGGTCTAAGGTATAGTGCCTCTAGACTGAGTCTTCTTCAGAAGCTATAAGGTACCTTCTGAATAGCGTTTTGACTCGTGTCCAATCTTATCCACAAGCGGTTGCAGTTATTATTTAACTATCTAACTAACCCGTAACTGTTGATCTCTCGTGTAAATATATGAAACATTTAATTTGTGAGGACATAGAAATAAGTTTATAGGACATTTTTGGGAGTCTTAACAAGTTTTTTTAAAACACACTACTAAATGAAAGACTGCCTATGGACTTTTCCCTGAGAAATTTGTCGCTAAATTGTGATTCATCACAAAACCATAACAAAAGTTGATGGATAAATTGTTGGTGGGTAATTCTAATCACACTACAACAAAATTGGGTTTACAGGACGCCCCCAATCTCTAAGGGTCTCAATAAACCATTTTATAGGTGATGGATAAATTGTTTGGTGAAAAATTACATGTCCTAAAACTCTCTGAATGACTTTGTATCTTCAGTCTCCCTTGACCATTCAGCACCTTAATTTCATTTTGAATAATTATCAAATAATTATATTCCATTTTATGCTATATTATAAGAGTCTCTTAATCATTCTGACCACTTGATCTTTATACCAAACCATTCATCAACTGTAAAACAGTTTCTTATTATCAATACCAGACCTAGATAAGTTAATAGGCAATTTAAAAAATCAATCCTAAAATATCCTCTAAATGGAATAAGACCGGACAGAATAAATAGTGATACGTTTTGGTATGGAATTGAACAAAAACTATTCATTAAACAAAACTTATCTACCCAAAAATGTTGAAGGTAGGAGGTGAATGGTAGGGGTTGGCGGTGGTCACGATGAGGATGGAGTTGATTTGGGTGGCCGGAAAATCTGGAAGGAGGGTGGTCGAATCGAAGAAAGAGGATGACGTCGTTTAGGGCATTAACATAAATATATAAAATCCCGTCTGAACCGCCTGGGAGGGAGAACGAATCAAAGGCTGAGGAAGACCAACGGCGTCCGATGCGCCGGAAGTCGTGGTGATCGACGTCGTCGAATCGATGCTATTGTTGTGGTCGGAGGAAGAGGACGGAGATCGAGACGAAACTCGTCGCCATCGCTAGGTTAGAAAATGAAAAGTGACGCATTTAATAGCGTATGTGCAATGCTTATATAGTCGGTTCGGAAATGCGGGTCGGATTCAAGATGAGAGTCCGCGTGTTCTGGAAGTAAGTTTGGAGAGGTTGGCATTTCCAGTCCCTAGACCTTTAAGTTTTCTAATGGAGCCACATTTACGATTACTAGAAGGGTACTTGTCCATGTAATGCATCGAGACATATTTCGATTTCAATGTTTCGTTTTATTTTTTATCTATATCGATATAATACGATTTTATATGGTTTTAAGAAAGCGATAATGTTTTTATTTTTGAATAAAATATAAATTTGAAAATATCATATAAAATTTACAAAAAATATATTAATATTAGTATCAAATTAACTATTTATAAGTTTTTATTTGTGTATTTTTTTAATCCAAAATTTTTTAATTTATCGTAACGAAGTAACTTAATTTAGGTTTAATAGTATATTTTTTATAAAGATAATAATTAAGTATTTTGTTAGACTTAATAATTATCCTAATTATATTTTAGATTTTTTATATTTTAAAATGAGATGTTTATCCTCTATTTGATTGTGTTTATCCAGAGTTAGTTACAGAATTCAAACATAGAGCTTTAATAAGTTGTACTCGTGCACAATTTATTTGTAATCCTGAATTTTAAGTAATATGCATCAATAAACAGTATTTCATGCATAAAAATGGTTTTTAACAGTTTTTGTCAAATGCTTTATAATATACTATTAGATAAAACAATCTTAGATATTTAAAAACATGCCATTTAAGCCTAAATTGGAATTGGAAGTATGGGAATTATGGTGAAAAGGGTAAAAAGGACCCTCATATTTGGATCAATCTTAATCGAAGATCAACAATAATGAGAGGTACTAGATAAATTCTTGTGAGAAGCAAGTGCAATTTATGTGGTGGGTTGAGATCAAAAGTGATCAAAGGTCCGAATTCTTTTTTACGATTCTCATCTTAACTCATATTCTCACAAAATCTTTCTTTTGGAACATTGTGGGTTATTTAACTTTATTTCGTATTTGGATGTTTAAGGTGTAGAAAAAAGGAATAAGGCATGGGAATTAAAGTTTAACACGAGTTGGGTTGGGCGGTTTAAGACATTTCTACAACCAAACTCAATTGTGTCGATTTGTAAAAATCTCAACACAACCCAATTCATTCAGAAGTATAACCTAACCCTTGCAGATTGGGAAGGTCGGGCGGATTGAACGGTTTGGTAGTATACATAAATTTGAGAAATGAAATACTATAAATGTTACTAAAAATATACAAAACAAAGTTATTAGTTGTTACAATTATCCGAATATATAATTAAATCTTTACGTCTTAGAATCAAGTATTTCAAATCATCAATCGAATACTTCAAAAGTTTGAATAATAGATGTCCCAAATCGTTCAAATCATCAATCAAGTACGACATTGTTGGACCTAGGGGTGTAAACGAGTTGAGGTTTTAAAGAGCTACTCGAGCTTGTTTATCTCAAGCTCAACCTTAATAATTCTCGAGCTCGATTTGATCTAGAATACAAAGTAGAACTCGTTTAACATAATGAGTCGAGCTTCATAAGACCAATGTTCGACTCGACTTGTTCGAAAGATCGGTTAGATTTTTCGAGTCGAGTCGAACCAAGCCATTCGAGCATATACTTTTTCGAGCCAAACATGCTTATATATTCATAAATAATACAATAAAAAATAGAAATTATCAACTTCGAGCCAATAAACAAGTTAATTGATTGGGAGTAGGAGCCCATGAACAAGGATCATAGGATCGTGTGAGAAAAAGAGTTAAGGTGAAAACCGTAAAAAGAGATTTGAACCCTTGATTATTTTTAATATCATGTAAACCATGAAATTGAGCTTTAGAAGGGAATTGATCCAGTGCATCTCGGCAGGGCCGGTCCAACGGTTTTGGATACCCTGAGCGGAGAGCCCAAAAAGGTGCCTACTCCAATGACCCGAGAACTCAAGAAGACACAAATTTTTAAGAGCTTTGGAACCTATTCAAGCTAGGTGGATCATCCCACGCCGGCTATTATTGGAAAAAAAAAGTTACAATGGGGGGACATAAACCAAAAACCCAAACAACAAACAAATATAAGATTACTTATTCATCTAAAACAATATCTTCATTCATTTCATGAAGCAAAATCTTCAATTAATCTGTCATAATCAACTTTTGCTAAAAACTTGCTTTCGATGCTCAAAATTTCTTTCTTTTTCTATTTTGAGCACCAGAAAGTTGTGATCTAGGAAATATATTTAATCAAACCAAATTGTTCAAACTTCAAACAACCAAGGAGGCAAGCAATCACTAAATATGCAATATTAAAATTACGGATTACCTCAAGGCTAAATCTCATCTACCTCGACATTTGTTTTTAATAAAAAAAATTGTGATTAATACTTCAACCTTTTTCCTTCTTTGTCTTGTTTGTTAGCTATTTTAACATACTTTAAGGGCATGGTCATATTTTATTATCATGTACTTTGCACAAAACTGCTTCCTTGGTAAATTTTCGGTCCATGATTGAACTAAGTTGGTGATGGGACAACGTTAGTCATTGTTCCGGTTATACCTCTCCAAAAATTTATCTGAACCAAGTTTGGAAATGAAAATCCATTGGAGAGGTTGCTCCTGCTCATGGATTATATTCAGATTGATGGTCAAGTTCTCCTGTTTGAGCTACAGATTATTGGTTTGTTCCACACGAGGTTCTAATTAGCGTGAGGCGTGGCGTGGCGGCGAAGTCAAGCCTTACAAGTTATGACGAGACCATGTGCGTTTTTCAAGGCAACAAATCTTTATATACATGTATTATATATACAGATGTCTATGAAATTGAATTCAAAATCCTCTTCGTTTTTAGTGAATAATGAGAATCATTAATATTTGGTTTAATAAGCCATAATTTATATATAAAAAGAGTATAAAAAAACAAAGAAAAACCTCATTCACGCGTTATAATCCGCCATAACCCACCATAGTGCGATATACGCGCCATACTGCAAGCCACGCCTCAAAGTCGTGCAACGGTCTTTAACGTGGCATCGAGGTATAATAACGCAGCCATAATGCGTTTTTTAGAACCATTGTTCCATAACAGCAATTAGATGTTTGGTATTTGAATTGGTGGCTGTTTCTGATATGTGAAGTTCTTTATTGTCTTATGGCTACTAGAAAAGACGTGTTTATAAGGTATTTTTCAAAAAATGTCATATAAAAGAGTTAAATTACCGGCCTTGGGCCTAGGCCCAGGGCATCAAAAATCCTAAGGGCATCAAAAATTCGTAAGCCCAATGTATATACTGGTTGAATTTGTATTTGGGCCTTAAAAAAATTATTACCGTTAGCCATTTTATTAAGAGTCCATTCCACTTACCAGTTACCGGTCCATATCCATCATCGATTCATCCTTGCTCGCTCTCGCCGCTCGGAAATCCTTTCGCAATCGGCTGGCTCCCTCGCTCGACGCTCTCTCTCTGCCTCTCTCGACTATCGACGGCCGTCTGCCGTCTGCGGCTGCCTCAGTCGCCGGTCGCTCTCGCCCATCGCCCTCTCTGCTCTCTCTTGTAGTCTTGTGTTGACTGTTGAGTGTTGAGCCATTGACATTGAGGTTAGGGATTTAACATTTAAGTCTTTAACCTAGGTTATTATAGTACTTATTTGGTTATTTTATTTACTTTATTTTTAAAAATTTTAAGTTGTTTGATTGGGAAACCTAATAATGAAAGATTGAAAGTATGAAACTAGCTTAGTCTGCTTAGTGCTTAGAAGCTGTGATTCTTTGATTGTGGTTTGTTGGGCTGTTTTACTGGTTTACAAATTTAGTGTTTTATGTTGGATGTTTATTGTTTAGTTTAGTCTATTTAGATTAGGGTTATTTTATGATTTCTAATTCTTATTTGATTTGATCACTTTATGTTTGAATGTTTCCTGTTTAGACTTTAGTTTAGCTTAGATCAGGATTAGATAATTTAGATTGTTATTTGAAGATTTGATCTTTTGTTTAGATTAGGGATTTAGGGTTATTTTGTTTAATTGTTTAGTTTAGGTTAGGACTTCGGATCATTTAACTTATTCTGTTTAGTTTAGGTTTACCCAAATGTTAAAATGTTAATCATTACATAGCAAGAGCCAAAACCATAAAAAGTTGTTCCTTGTCGACAATAGATTCATTATGCATTTCATGGTAAGTTGTTGTGTATGTCATCAAACTTATCTGTAGCCTGGTAGTAAGATTAATATTCTTTATTTCTCTTAGATTTGACTCTTCAACTGCACAAGTAAGTTTTTATGTTCATGGGTTTCAACTGAAGTTTTGTTGTTCATGGCATAAGTTCTATACTTTTTATGTTTGTTTAAAGTTAAATGAATACCATTGTTATTACTTGATCTAGTTGTTCATCAAATCAATCAAGCCTATCTCTAGAGTTTTAGTTCTTCGTTCTGTGATTAGTATTCAAGTTATCATCCACCGATTTTTGTTCTAATCCCATTAGATTTTGATGTATATTAACACAATTGCGGGGAACTATAATATAGTTGAACAAACCTATGAATGTGCAGTAGTTAAGTGATGATTTGCCCTCACTTGAAAGTGCAGTAGCTAATTCACTTGATTGTTCTCCCTTAACTTTGCAATTTTACATATGAAACTCATGATCGTCATTGGTCAAGACCCCAAATATGATTATATGAAACACATGATGGACTAATGGAGTCATGCAATAGCTAATTTCATAGGCAAACACCATAAGTGACTAAAACTAGGAGGACAAAATTAGTGAAGTAGGAATGAGCCATTGATGTTGTGGAGTGTAAATAATTGAAGAAGAACCAATCAATTAAGTGTTTGGAGTTGGATTGAGAAGGTACGAGTGTTGATTTTGGTTTATATAGAAGACGTGGGATTGTAAATGAGACAAGTAGATGAGTTAGTGTTATGATGCTCCTTATTTTGGTTTTGGACAAGTAGATGAGTTGGTGTTTAAACGCAAAAGCTATAACAACTTGATTAAAGAAAACTTAACATATTATTTTAAAGCAAACTTTCAACTACAAGATCACACTTATGAACAAAAAACACTAATGGGTCTCTCGGTCTATGAAGGAAAAAGCTAGACAATTGTAAATTAACACACTTGGATGTTTTTAATTGGGCATCATTTGGACTTTTCGCTGTGGGCACCAAAAATCTCAGGGCCGGCCCTGAAACAACCCCTTAATACCTTAAATTCGAATCAATCAGACTTTTTTGTTTCAGACAATTTATTTTATAAAATAAAAACCGAAAAGCTCTTTATCTTAATCTGAAAAAAAGATGCAACCTAATCACTTAGGTTGATTTGTACAAGACGACGGCTTCCTCCCCATTGATATGTGCAAGACGACGACACAAGCTGCTTCTCTAGAATCGATCATATATATCAAAATCGGTTAGGGTTCTTTGCCCGTCTTTTTACTCTTCAAGCTTCCTTCAAGGTAATGGTTAGTTTTTATCAGTTCTCTCTACTTTTTGTTATTTGCTTTGATTTGTTGATCGAAGCTTAGGGTTTTTGTGAATTTACATCTTCTGGTTGTTCTTTTTCATATCTTGCTTTGATTTGTAGATGGTTAGGGTTCTTATGCATCGCCATTGTTGAGTGTTTGTAGAGCTCTAAATTCAACTATTCTCATATGTGGTTTGCCAATTTGTTAATTACTGTCATTTGTTGCTAACTTCAATTCAACTTTGGTCAATTAGGGTTTTTTATCCCAAACTTAAACTTCTCTACTTCAAGCTTCTCGATTCAAGCTTATATCGAGGTAAATGGGTTCTTTGTTCTTTGTTTCCTGTTGAGTTCTTGGGGCTTTTACCTATGATTTTGGTGATAAAGACAAATTAAAAAATGGTTGGATTTAATTCTATTCTTTAACATTTAGCATATGGGATTTTTGTGGTGTGTTAAAAAGGGATCACAATGATAGAAGAACATGGGTAAATTTCATAACTTCTTTGGTATGTTGTCTTAATTTGCTTCAATCGTTTGTCAGGATTACAAAAACAAATAGTCTTACTGATTCAGATTTCAGACTTTTGACGTAAAAACAAACTGTTAGTTTTCTGAAAAAACCCCCTTAATACATCTTAAGTCTGAATCGATCGGACGTTCTTGTTTTCAGACCGTTTGCTTTTTTTTTAAATAAGAGCTGAAAAAGCTCTTACCATCCTTTGAAGTTTTAAGTGAAAAACCTACTCTGAAATCAATTTTAGAAGCCTCCTCCAGATCTCGCTCTCAGCTCTCGGTTTCACTCTCGACCAAACTTTGAGATCAATTTCAAAAGCCTCTCCAGATCTTGCTCTCAGTTCTCGATTTCACTCTCTAAACACCTCAAGCTCTGGGTCTCGATCTCTTTTTCTTCCTCTCGATCCAAGTAGCTCTCGATCTCTTCTTCTGCCTCTCGTTATCTCAAGAAAGGTAATGGGTCTTCTGCCTCTCGATCTCTCTGAGAACCCACAACAGGAAGCATGAGTTCTGTGTTCAAAACATATAATTGTTCTTGGATTTGGGTTTTTAAAATAGTTAACTGTTTATCTGTTTTCTGCTCGTTTGGGTAGACCTGTTTATCTGTTTTCTTGATTTGGCATAAGAAACGCCATGGAATATGATGATTCTTGCGTATAAAATAAGGATTAATCACAACTTCATAGTTGTTGTTCTTGAGTAGATATTGTAGGAGGAAGAAGGCTATGTAAGTAATGTTCTGGTGTGGGTCTCGTAACAAAATGTACCCACTAGATATATAGATATATATGTATAACAAACACCATTTGAGATTACATTATAGCTATAGAAACCAACATTAACGAGGTTGTCAACTGTAGCGCTTTAAGATGTCCATATAGCCTACAATAGCAAGTATAAGCCTTTGCTACAAGCATTTTCTTGACTTTTGATATCATGCAAGTCTATTAGTTTTGGAATCATCTCATTTGGATCATCCATCTATTTTATATGAATTTTACAAAACTGTAGATTAATCCCGAATACAATGCAAACAGCCCAAAAAACACACTGTTTCGACCCACTTAGATTCATAAACGGATTTTTGACCCTTCATGAAAGTTGTAGTATACAGTAAGGTCTTTCTAACTGCAAAATATGAGCTTATTCTGACTTACGGTTTCTGAGTTATACACCGTCAAAGTACAGGACTTGCATTGTCGGTAAAATTCGATTCCGCAATTCCCGACTAACTTTTATGATCCAACTTTCATGATTCACTACATTTACATGCTATAAACATACTTCAATATACAAAACAATAAAACAAGTCCAATGGTCGCTAACCTAAGTTTAATCATGCATTTTTACTCTTTTCGATATTTAATCGAACCATTGGTGTGCGGTTAAACAGACACCCACAATCTAACCATATTGAAACTATAATCTATCCTTTTAATTCTACATCAATTTAACCAATCCTAGCATTCTAAGCATGAACTATATCATAATTTTAACAATATCAATCTGTAAACTTAGACATAATCTAATTTATAAACCCATCTCAAGAACCATAACGTAAACACCCTAATAAAAATGAACGAAATTTATACCTTTAAGAAGGGTTCGAAGAGTGGATTCCGAATATATAATCGTTACTTCGATTCCTTTAGTAATTTGATGTGAAATTTATAGAGAAGTCGAGAGTTTTAGAGAGAGAGGGAAATGAGAGAAAAGAGATGGTGATTAAACCGTCTTCTCATGCACACACACACATATATATATAATTAACCATGTGGCGGTTTTAACTCTTCAAGTTTAGATTCTCAACTTTATGCCAAAATAGGCATAAACTCAACTTTTGACACAAAACTAGCCCAAGGTACAAGTTGGTTAAGCATATGGTACAAACATGTTATGCACCATCCTACCAAGAGTTCACTTAACCCAATTTATACGAGTTAATGAAACACGGGTATTATATAAGGCTATGATTAACATTATTAGCATGAACAATATTTTCATTGTGATTACATATGTGTTACAACATGTTCAATATTGTTAAATGTGAACGAGCATGATAAGTGGATAGTTTTCAAGCATTCTAAATGTTTTACATTACTATGGTTAAACATGTATGTTTAATTGGGTAAGTGTGTGTGATCTTTGTTTCTTGGATTAGGGGCATATTTTTGACTCTTCGCCCACGGCATCCAAAACAATAGGGCCAGACCTGATTGAAGCAAATGACGATTCATTCAGCTGTTATTCAGAAGCTTCTAAGCACAAACGCTCATTTAGCCCGCCGAGCGGCTGAGAACCATTTTAAAATCTACACTTATGGCACTCGAAATGGAATGACGATTATCGACTCCGATAAAACTCTTGTTTGCCTCCGTAGCGCTTGCAATTTCATTGGGAATCTTGTTCGCGAAAATGGTCGGTTTCTGTTCGTGAATACTAATCCATTACTTGACGAGATTATTGAGCAGATGATTAAAAACACTGGCTGCCGCAACGACAACTCTTGGCGTCTTGGAGGGTTTCTAACCAACAGTCTGAGTCCAAAAAAGTTTCGATCTCGGAATAAGAAGTTGAATCTGACGTCGGTTTATCAGCCAGATTGTGTGGTGATTTTTGATACGGAGCGGAAGTCTTCTGTGATTCTTGAAGCATCTAGGTTACATATTCCAATTGTTGGGTTAGTAAATTTGTTTATTTTTTGCATATCATATTTCATAACGGGTATAGTATCTGAATTTAGGGGAAGGGCCGGGGGAGGGGATACCACTGTGTTCGCGAGATTAAAAAAAGTGGAAAGAAAGGGAAAGATGTAGAAAAGAACAAAGAGGACCTAAAAGTTTTTGTGTTTCAGGGTTTTTTTAGGATAGGATATAAAGGAACAGGTGGGGAAGTTTTAACTGATTTTGTCAAAAATTTCCTCCAGATGTGTGAATATTAGGAGTGGGCTACCCCATTGGTACTTTTTTGTTGCCTCTTTTTGTTGTTGAAGTTACTACAATTTTGTTGCCTGTTTTTGTTGTTGAAGTTACCAAGTTTAACAAAATGATTGGTTAAAAACTTTATCTTTAATGTCAGGTTGGTGGATCCGAGTATGCCACTGGAAACGTACAAGAAAATCACATACCCTGTTCCAGCAAATGATTCAGTGCAGTTTGTGTATTTGTTCTGTAATATGATTACTAAAACTATCCAATACGAGCAAAAGAAGCTTGCTGCAGCTAAAGGGAAGGTTTCCAAAGAAGAAGAGACAAAAACCGGGTAAGATGATGTTAGTAAGTCATTATTTGAATACCCCATGTCTAATCATGCATATCGATGCACATGTGATACAATGATCATAGGATCAATATATGTTTTGTATTTACATGTCCGGTTTTGACACACATTTGGTGGAGATGCACAATTAGAGTAGCAGACTTGCAATTTTCTATAAGGACCTGTGATTAGTGTGGGCAAGGGAGGGGTTGGGAGTGGCAGCAGGGGGTTGGGGAGGGTTGAAGAGCTGATATCTACGAGCCAAAGTTCTCGGATGGGGTATGTGGGATGGCCACGAGTAGTTTTTTGCAACTGTTGTCAGGAAGAGATTTTTTGGCTCGCTTCTTAGAGTGTTTAGCTGTTTCGCACTTCCCCCCTTTCCCTACTTGTTTTAATCTTATTCCATGTTGTATACTTTGTGAACCTCATTTCCCAAGTTTGTCAAGCTTTTCATCAACTTTCTAAAACTTCTTTTCTTGCTTTTGTTAGTCTCGCTTTTGGGGTTGCTAAGGATCCTCCTCCCACCCTAAAAAACTATATTCGCATAACTCTTGCAAGTCAGGGGTCTTCATGGAAGTGACCTCTCTAATCCTAGGGGTAAGGAAAGGTCAAGTAAATCTTACCTTTTTAAACCCCACTCACGTGGGATTTACTTGGTGCTATTGGTTTGGTTTATGTTGAGCACATATTTCTTGCATAAAGCTTGTGTATTGACAAAAAGTTTTAGAGGATGTTTAGAAGGCATACAAGTCTATGTTGATTCAAAAGTTCTTGCTTAATTGTTGGAACTTTTTCATGGATTATGCACTTATTTTGTATCAATCTAGAGAATGTAGGACTTTATGAAGGATTTGGGAGTTTAGAGAGAGTAAAGAGAAATTTTGAGGTATAGATATGGTATATACTACATAGTCCTTCCAACTACATCTAACTAATTATCGGGTAACTACAACCTAAAGCTATCGTTACAATTTCAAACCATATGAAATGACTAGACTGATTAGCGTTGTAGGATCAATAAGTGTTTTTACCAAAAAAACTTATAAATTCAGATTCCGACCCTCATTACCAAAATTTCTGAATGCACTACTCCTTACCTCAACCACTAGGATCAAAAGGTTGTTTCCATGAAGACCCTGCATAACTCAAGGTGTGTGCAAACAAGTATAAAACAAGTAATATAATTATAACATGTGATCAGGACGACAATTGTGTGCACATGATTCAATAGTACAGAAGCAAACAATGTAATAAGGTACAAGTACCACATGTATTACAAGTAGCACTAATGTATACATGGTTGCTAAAAACGGTCGAGGCGTATGTCGAGGCGGTCAAAAAACGTTCTTGAGGCGGCACCTGTGTTAGGTTGGTTGGGTCGTACGCCTCGAACTACTGAGGCGGGTCTGAGGCGGTACTAAGACTTTAGGCTTAGAAAATATGCCAAATCAAAGAAAATATACTTGCCAATTGATGAGTGATGACCCATTAAAATGAAACCTCTGATCCTTGCTTTGTACTTGTGCATGGCCATTGAAGAAGTAAACTTACTGCTATATGTGATTTTTTGTTTTTATACGGTAAGACTACATACTAATGATGAGACTTGGGAGGTACTCTTCGATTTTACATAGCAAGAGGTGACTTTTCTTCTTCTATTGACATCTGTATCACTTTTATTGTTTCTCTTTATGTGGGAGGCTTTTAATGTTTCTCTAATTTGTTTTTATTAAAAAATAAAATCTTTAACAACTAATTCCCTAAATTAAAGTATTTAAAGACTTTATTAGCAACATTATGATTCTAAATATTATTATCAGCTAAATATTACATGTATAACATTATTTTTTATTTATTTTTATTTTCCGCCTCGAGGCTTACGCCTCAACCTCGCGGAGGGAAAACGCCTCGCCTCATGTTTCCGTACTTTAAAACCTTGAATGTATATAACAACTTAAACATGCAGGTATGGCCAATAACAAAATCAAACAAGAAAGTCGAGTGAGGTCTTATCTGGCCCATCTATCCCACACAAGGAACCAATTTGTCTACCCTTGACCCTCTGCTCAAAACCCTTGTCGACATAGATCCTACTAAAATTCAACCACTCTAGTCTTATGCCTCCTATAACTCCTATAAGAGGTTAAAATTGCCATGCCCGTCTTTAGTTGGTCGTCCCACGTACTCGTAGGCCTACCCTTCTTTATCCCCCTTCACTCTCACTGGCGCTGTCAACTACATCTTATGGACATACCTAAACCACCTCAATTTAACCTCTCTCAATTTATCTAATGATAGGCTGAAGCCCTAGTTCCAATCTGGAAACCTTGTTTGGAATCCTATCTAGCATGGTCCGACCACACATCCATCTCAACATCCTCATCTCTGTAACTTCCAATTTCTTCTGTTGCGCCTTCTTTACTACTACCCAACACTCAGAACCATACAACATAGTCGGTCTTACGGCTACTTTGTAGAATTTCCAATGAATTTTCTTTTATTACAAATCTTATGTTCTGGCGGTAACAACCTAACATCTACGTTTGATATGGTCAAATCATGTCATGTAATGTTGTCTTAGGGGCTGTTTACTAGCCTCATTTCATCTTTTACTGGTAAGATTCTCTTACCCAGGTGAGGTAGGAGGGTTTACCAAAAAGAAACAGATCAATGATCATTGACCATCCTTCTGACCGGGGTAAGTGATGGAACACGTGCTTACCATGGTCAACATCTATTCTTCCTCATTTACCCTCCCCTTGATCTCTTTCTTCATTGAAAACCTTCTCTTTTCCTTCACCAACAAGAGTAATACCCTGGACAGTTCTTCTCTCATGCACACATACCCTCACTACTACAGATGCAGAGGAATCATGCTATTTCTCCCGAAGAAGGTTGGTGGAAGTCATCAGTTCGAGCCTGATTATCCCTAAACCCAATGTGATTTTTTATATTTTGATTTGCTACCCCGCCGTGATTGCAAAAAAAGGGGTTGATCCGTATCATCTTGACTTGGTTCTGCTTCCTCTATTTTTTTAATAATACCGGGTCGACTTCTTCTCTTGCCCGTATAATTGGTATCAACATAAAGGCAAGTCAAAATTATGAATTCGGAGGGAATCATCAATGAGGTAAATCTTGAAATAGAAATCCTAGAAGGGCAAAAAGTGAAAGGTAATTAGATGGGAAGACGCTTTGGTAGAGAAACAGCAGACTCTCGAAACAATTGTGGGAAAGGAAATTAGGAGAGGCAATATGCTTTGGAAGAAGAAATGCCTTTATTTGTCTCTTGGAAGAAGAAATGCCTTCGATGTATGACCATCCATGTACCTTGGAAGTCTTAATTTTGCACACTCATCTCATGGAGACATTGTCCTATAAAACCTTCTTTTAGTTTCATAAGTTGCCGGATCATAGAAAGTCATATGAAGCTTGTTGCAATTTCATCAATCAGCACTTCTTTTTTACACTAACATTCTTGTCAATCTATTCGTTCTTTTTAACACATCCCAAATCCATTTTTGTGCAAACAACTAGATACATTTCCAATTCAACCATGCACCCTCTCCATCCTGGCTTTGGACCCTACACAAGTAGAAATTTTCTAATGGAGCTGACAACCATCCTATATTGTGCTATGATCCATGACATCATGATGCTGTTAATCTCATCATATCACACAATTATGGTTTATCCACCACGTATAGGATCTATAGGTCCTGTTGCTTTAGGAATAAAGGATAGAGAGGTACATGCCTATATAAATAACGTTCTTCATGTAAATGTGGATGCACTTTTGGTTGCTTGAAAACCTGTTGCATAATAATGATTGGGGCCATATTTAGATTTGACATATTTGTATAATTTATTGATTTAAATGTTTGAATTTTGATGCCACTATTTTTTTTTGGTCAACTGCTTCTTCATATTGCTTGTTTTTGAGTTTTCTTTGAGATGAATAACAACTTTTGTTATGGATGCATTATGGATTGAAGAGAGGCTGCTCAACCAATTGAAAAGATTAAGATCGATGGTACAAATGATGAATCGTGCGTCCTACCATCGTCTGCTTCTGACGGTAATTGTCTAATTCTAGTAACTATCACTAGATTTACTTTTCTTCGATTGTTCAGATTGCAATTTTTATTTCACTTTTTCGTTATGCCCAAGTTGTGATATTCTTCTGGATGCAGATCCCTTGAAAATCTAGGAGCTTCTGGACAAACTTGTTGTCATCAAGATCAACAACAATGAAGGGACAAAGATGGGCAAAAGTACGAATTCCTCCATGACCATAAGTTCTCGCATCTTTTTTTAGTTCGATCTAGGAATGAGGCTAAAGCAAAGACGGATTTGGAAAGCCTCTTTTACCATTCTACTAGTTGTGTACCTGCGTAATGCAGCGGAGGCGCATTTAAATTTTCATCTATTGTTTTTACAAAACCAAAGAAAAATACATCTTCCCTTTTCACATCATATTTGAATACAAATATGAATAACATCAATAAGATAGAATTATGCAGTTTCTGAATCGATAAAAGTTATTGATGTTTTCTTACCAAATGCTATGAGGCTTTGTTTTTAGAGGTATATAACTTAAATGCAATAACAACAATGGAAGAAGATGAGTTTCAGTTTTATTTTGTTGTCAATAAATTTTGTTACCAATATGTGATTTTAGCAATAGATAGCTGAAAATACCTCGTCTCAATAAGACGACGAGATGTACTAAAAGGGAATGTTTATCTGGGAGCATGAAACCATACAAGCTGCTTCAAATTTAGAGCGCATTCGGAAAGCTCTAATATTTGAACCTGGGACCTCCTGGTATAAATCAGGTACATCTCCACGTTACTAGAATTGCTCAGTTATCTTATACATAAGCATAAAAAAGGTGCTTCCTTTTCTAAAATGTATAGCTTATTGGACATTTGCTTTTATTCCATTCTGTGGCATGCACTGTGTATGTAAGATGAGATGATCATAATTTCTTGGCATGCAACACAAAAATGCAAAAATCAACATAGATTTTTCACAAGGGTAAACCTTGATACTTTTATGCAAGTTTACGCATGTGCGCGCGCACACGCACACACACACACACACACACACACACATATATATATATATATATAGAGAGAGGGAAGGGTTCAAACGAGAACCCCTGTGATTTATGAAAACGCGAAAACAACTCGGTAACCACATATTGTGATAAAAAATAAAATTAAAAAAATTTTAAAATTAAAATTAAAATTTAAAAAGATTCAAAAAAATTTTAAATTAAAAGGGTAATAATGGAAATGATATATTATCTAGAAAACGGTTAGAATCTTTTAAACTTATCATTAAACACAATCAAAATCTTTTAAACCTATCATTATCATCTACAAAACGGTTACGATTACAAGCAACCTTAATCATGTGATATGGGTGTGATAATCATGTGATAGGGGTGTGATAATCATCGTTATACATCACTTGGATTATCGTTTTGGTTGATAAGTTAAATTTTTGGTGTAATCATGTGATATGAGTGTGATAATCATGTGATAATCATGTGATAATCATCGTTATACATCACTTGGGTTATCGTTTTGGTTGATAAGTTAAAATTTTGGTGTAATCATGTGATATGAGTATGATAATCATGTGATATGGGTGTGATAATCACCGTTATACATCACTTGGGTTATCGTTTTGGTTGATAAGTTAAATTTTTGGTGTAATCATATGATATGGGTGTGATAAT